AATCCGAGCTATTCAAGTGCTCTTCTAAAAGCAAATAAAATTGCTTTCCATAGATGTCATCGGACTCACACCCCAGCCTAGAATTTCAAGGCCCTGTGCTACGTTCGACCACTTCTCCCCCGCAGGCCTCCCCGGCCCCTTTCTTCCCCTTTCCCTATTTTTTTTTGGCAGACACCCACACAGGCGTGGTCCAGCACTGAACCTGGCTTCCTGACGCCATCTGGCACCCCCACCTGGAATGCGCCCCCTCCTTCCCCAGCACACGCCTTCTTGCTTCCTGGGTGTCTGGGCTGAGAACGCCCTCCGCTGTTGTGGTTGTCCCACAGCAGTTCACACCACGTGCCTGGTGCTGAGCTCAGGGTGCCCTGGTCTTGGAGAGTCAGACCCGTCGCCCACCGGTGTGGCAGGTGGAGGGGACAGAGGGAGGCTCCTGGGCAGCTGCTGTGCCCTGCAGGCCCCTGGAGCCCTTGCCCCTCCATATGTCACCAGTTCTTGCCCCAGCCAGACTACAATGCAGTGGAAAGAGCCAGGCTCTAGACTGGATGACTCTGGGATTCAAATCCTGCCTCTTCCTCCTCCTGGCCCTGTGATCGTGGCTGGTCATTTACCTTCCTATGAGCCTTGTCTCGCTCATGTGACAAGAGAGCAGGAACCCCTGCTATAAACAGACCTGCCATGAGTGTTAAATGAGATACTGCTGGGACCAGCAGTTAGCGTAATGGCCATGTCGCTGGGCTCCCACGTAGTCGACCGCGGTTTGAGTCCCGGACGCAGTGGCTTAAACTCACACTGGGCGCGTGTGCGTGCGTGCCCAAGATCCTGAGAGGAGAATAGAGGAGAAGGGATTGCGGCGTGGCCATCCCCCTTGGGGGGTGATTTCCTGCTTTCTGTCTCTCTGTTTCTTTCTGTCTGTCTGGCGAGCGCACGCGCCCTATCGCAAAAAACCTCTCCAAAAAAAAAAAAAAAAAGAGATGCTGCTTGTGTGAGCCGCCAGCGTGGTCCCTGGCACAGACTGGGTACTCAGAACCGGGATGCCTCCCGGCGTAGGGGCCTCGGTGTCCGGGAAAAGGGGCCGTGGGGAGTGCCCCATGTGCTTTAACACACCTGCTCTTCGGGAGGCCTTCTCATCCCTGTTATCACTGGACGTTGGCATCACTGATCATAACAGAAACGGTGAGCGTCCACTGAGCACCCACTCTTCCCTAAGACCGTGCTCTGTGTTTCTTTGGTTCCCATCTTCTCAGCAACCCTGGGACGTAGATACTATGATTGTCCCCATTTTCCAGCCTGGGAAATGTCCAAGGGTAGTCAGCCAGGAGGTGGCAGAGCCAGGATTTGAACCCTGGCAGCCTGGGAGTCTGCCACGATGCCGTATTTTCTTTCCCAGGAGTGACCAGTGTGTATTCTCAAGAGAAAGAGATGAGTGACACACATACACTCACACTCACACTGACACAGTCACTCTGTCCTGCCCACCTGTCCTCCAGTGCCCCGTGAGGTACCTGGGATCCCTTCTCTCTCCTTCCATGTCTCCCCACCCCCTTCCTTCTTTCCCTCTTTCTAGAGAGATAGGTATGACTTGCACACAGCACAGTGCACAGGTCTTAAAGGTGCGGCAGTGTGAAAGTTCAGCCGTGTTTACGCCAGGTAACCGCCACCTGGATGGAGACTGAATGCCCTTCCGTCGCCGACGGCTCCCCTGCGCCCCCTCTGGTCAGTCAGTAACCCTCCGCCACTCTGCTGACTCCATTCACATGGGTAGCTTAATTTGGCCTCATTTCAAGCTTCATCAAAAACTTTCCTAGTTTTACAAAAGGGAAACTGAGGCTCCAAGAGGTGAAGCCCCCTGTCCCAGGTCCCCTAGCTGGGAGGTGAGCCCCGCCTGCCTGCCACTGCCCCACCGGTCTTCTCATCACCCATGCCGGCGTGATGAGGAGTCGGGCCTGGCGAGTCCCCAAACCACAGTGAGTCCAGAAAAAGCATTTATTTTGCTTCCAGGTGGGCTGATTTCTGGCAGCCTGTGGGTGTTTGAAAATCAGTTCAGCCCCAGCCGATGAAGTCAGTTAGCCTTGGCGGGCGGCCGCCCAGGGGGGGGCGGGGGGAGGGCGGCTGGGC